CAATGTCAGGGCGAGTGAGGGACAGGTAAGTCAACTTCCCCACCAGCTTTTGGTATCTTTCCTTATCAAGGTAGTCCTCTCCTACTGACTCCTGTAGACCATGATTCTGTTCWWTTGGAGTATCTGCTGGCCTACACCCCATCATGCCTGTCTCTTGAAGAAGATCAATGATGTATTTCCGTTAACATATATAGATGTCCTCTTTGGATCTTGCAACTTCAATCCCAAAAAAGTATCTCAGTTGGCCCAGGTCTTTGATCTCAAATTCAACAGCCAAGACCTCCTTTAGTCTTTTAATCTCTTCCTGATCATCCCCTATAATTACCATTAAAATGAAAGGCAATAGAATAAAATGGTTTGGTCACATGCAAAGAAGACCATCTACAGCACCCATAAGAAGAAGTGATCTTTACAAGTTGAAGGGGCTAGAAAAGCTTAAGAGCAAACCAAAGAGGACATGGGTTGAGCTAGTAAGAAAGGATTTAAGCGCTCATAATTTAACATGGATATGGCACTAAACAAAATGGAATGATGAAACAAGATTCATGTAGCCAACCCATAAGTTGTGGCAACGCTTAGATGATAATGAGGATGATGAATGATTGGCAAGACAGGATAGAGCCAAAGGTTAGGTTTGTATCCAGTCCGCTCCTCTCAGGAGCCTACATGGTTGGGAGATGGGACCAACATTGGGTAATGGTCTTTCTTTTATTGACAATATGGGACAGAAGTCTAGTTCTTAAGTATCATATAAGAGTATGAAATTATCTTTCATAATCTACCAAGAAAAGAAAAGAATAGATGTTAAGTAGTAAATATCAATAAACTTACTATGCATGCATTTGCAAGGTGTAGATGTTGCCACATCACTTTAGCAGCTAAGTCTTATAGCAGGAGTACAAGAAGAGCAAAAGAAAGGATAGAATATGCATTGCTCTCCAAATTAGGGGAAAAAAGTGCATTAGTGGAAACTAACCTCATGTTAAAGATAGTTCAACTGAGTCATTCCACAAATGCACAATGTGATATAATCCTGAAAACAAGCAACTGCATTGACAATTTCATTACCTTGAAATAGTTCTCCACAAAATTAGGATCCCCAAGAGTTGAATGCAACTGATTAGAAGGACTCTTTCTTCTTGAATTTGGTGATCCTTCAGAATTTTTACTATCCAAAAAGTAGTAGTTGACTGAAGTCGAAGGGCTGTCAGGTCTCGACTGAGACACCAATTTGACACTGTTTTCATCTTCCATGTCAGTGGAACTTGCACCTAACAATCTCAGATTACCATATTTTACATCATCAGAAGATGGTTGTTCTTCCACCACTTCAGAAGACTTTTCATGCAAGACAGATTCCCCAATGCATTGTTTTGTGTCATTTATGGATTCCTCTGGTTCAGATAACAATGCATTCTTAATCATGCAATCATTTAACAATGAGTCCTTAGTTTCAAGCTTCTCATGGAAGCTTGCAGAAGTTTCAGAACCCTCAGATACAAAGTTTCCATTGAGAGAAAAGAAGGCCGACAATTTTTTCTGGTTACATGTTTCCTTCACAAGCTGGTCTAGTTGATAAGGAACCCCTGGAGAACAGAAAAAATATATTGTTTCAATACTTGTTATCCACATAAAACTCAGCAGCGGTTCACCATCATTTAACAAACAAAGATGGAGCAAATAGCAGATATTTCAATGGGAACATTTCTAATGTACAATTTTAAGCATTTATACTCACCCTTCTAATGATAAGAATGGTGTCTGACATTTTTGCATTCCAATTATATCAACTAAACAAATTCCATCATCCATTACCTATTTCTTACTGGTACAGTAAATAATATTTCTGCAGCACGGCAGCAGCCGCAGCACCATATGGTAGAAAAATTAAATACGCTAAGCAAAATTGGCTGCTGCAAAATCGAGAACAAGATAACTTACAATTCAGAAGCCTATTGGCAGCAACGCAGTCCAATACCCATGTTGGTTTCACTACTGGAAGCCCACCACTAAAGGACCTGTGCCAGAATTACCAACAATAAGAACAAAGATAAGTTAAAGAGAGTGCACAATATTGGTTTTGGAGAAGAAAATGCAAAGAATAAATGGGAGAAAAAACCTCAAGTTCTTAAGTTTGCTGTTAGGAAGATTACTGCAGATGATATGAGTAACACGATGCCTCGAAAAGTAATTCTCAAAGCGGCCTCCATGTTTCAACATATAACCTCGAAGCTCCTGGACGCCAACTTATTAAAACCAAGGACACAACTACATGAATGTACTAAATTTAGAAAGAAATACACAAAATTGAAAATAATGAACAAACCTGACTAGAGGGAACTGTGAACCCGTCAACAAAAATTGAAACCCCATGAAATATAGCTTTACCAGACTCGCTAAGCGAAGAAGTTGAAGCATCCGCATCGAATTGGTTTCGAAGTTTTCGGTTTTTATCCACCATGTAGCTACAGAGAATCGTCAGTTAAAAAAATGAATAGATAGCTCCAATAAATCGAGAGAGAGAGAGAGAGAGAGAGAGAAAGAGAGTGGGAGAGACCTTCCAAAATCAGTGAAAGGGGAATTGCGAGAGAAGGATCTGGAAGAAGAGAGGGAATTGGCACCCCAGGCCATGCCAAGAGTTTTCTGGTTGATCTTTTTTTTCTTGTTATTCTTATTGCTTCCTTCGGAAGGATTTGAAGAGTTGGAATTAAGATTCCTCTTCGACTTGCCAACTGAATTCGCCGAGCGAGAAGAATCAAAACTCATTTTTCTATAATTGCGCTTTAACCAAAAACCCTGCTGGCATTCGGAAATGGAGCAATGGATCCTGAACGGTGCGAGGAAAGGTAAGCGCGCAAATCTCAAATCTCTGTTGATTGCTTGTATTGTATTTCGAGGTTCAAATTATAAAAATTATGAAAGATCATTTAAATAGACACCCCGAGGTAGTTTGCATTTTACTAAGATAACCCTGTAATTTGCAACCAACCATCCTACTTATTTTATCATCCGTCAGAAACGTTTAAATATCCGTTTGAAAATGGCTTAATTTTGTTTTTTTAAGCCCCGAAACTATGAGCCAAACTTGAGCTCTATTACGGCTAGATTCAAAAGCTCACAAGTTTGAGCTTGGTTATGAACCAAATTTTTTAATATATTAGCGGGGACCGCATGGGATTTATTAAGATAAAGTTAAATAATAGAAATAGTTATTTACTAAAATACCTTTTATAGTTTTATGAATTTATTAAAATTTACCCTATAGTTAGTATTTTACTAAAACACCATTTATAATTTGCAATGGATTTAATCAATCTTCCATTAGATGATAGTGAAAATCACGGTGTTGATCATAATGTTTATATAAATAAATTTAATTAAAAAAATAAAAATAAAAATATCATTTTTTCCATTAATAAGACGCGGGCAATTACTCTATTAGTTATATTTGGTCAATTTTGTTTTCTGTAAAAAAAAATGTGTTAAGAGTATTTTGGGAATAAAAAATCATGGGCCTAATGGCAAAACAAACACTCATTAATGAAAGGTTGATTAAGTAAATAAGTTGTAAAATATATGGGATGTTTTAATAAAATAAAAACTATAAGGTAGGTTTAAGTAAATACGTAAAACAATAAGGTGTATAGGAATGGCAACGGGGGGCGGGTTCAGGGTGGGGATCATATTCCCCATCCCTGACCCTGATTCTAAAATTAACCCCCATCCCCAATCCCTGAAAGGGATGAGTTCCCCATGGGGACCCGAATCCCCAAATTATTTTCAATTAATAGTATTTTTTAAAATAAATTTATTTAAAACAAAATAAAAATTTAAATTACAAATAATGTTTTAAATATGTTTTGATATATATATAATATAAATAATATAATAGTATATTTAATATAAATAATATTTAACATATATATATATATATAATCGGGGCAGGGCGGGGGCCTCAATCCCCATCCTTGACCCCAACTAAGGATTCCTATTAATCATCGTCCCTTGCCCTTTCCCCGCCAAAACAATCCCCATCCTCGACCCTAGCGGGTTGGGGAAGCCGAGTCCTCGTCAAGGATGGGGAAAATTGCCATTCATAAAGGAGCGTTCAAGTAAATGACCCTAATAGAAACACATAAGAGTATACAATTGTGTTTTATATTTTCAACTTTTTAAATAATTAATAATTATTCATATTTTATATACTACTTTTAATAAAATTTTTATAATACAAAAATAACAATAATTAATTTCAGTTAGGTTTATTCATCAAACTGATGAAACCGACTAACCTGATTAACTCGACCCGAATTTGTCGGTTTTCTAGTATTTTAGGTTGGCTTTGGTTTAAAAATTTCTCAATTTGACTAAATTGGATTAGTTTCACTTTGGCCATTTGTAAACCGACCAAAATCGAGCAACCTAACCATGGATATATATATTAATATTTTATATATTAAATATATTTCTTAATATGGAAAAGTGGGAAATTTCCCATATTTCTTAGTCTAAAATGTTTTATATCATAAATCTAATTTTTTAAATTTATTTTTCAATAATTGCACTGTAATTTTTAAATTTAAATCTTTTGAACCGACTAACCAAACCAAAAAATTGACCCAAACCGATACAACTTGAGTGGGTCGATTTTCACAAAAGGTTAGTCAGTTTCATTTGACCAATCCCTAACCTTATCAGGACAATTTGGTTGGCCAAATAGCCTACAACGGAACCAAACGAACTCATGAACACTCATAATTTCAGCTAAATTAATAGTCTTAGCTTTGATAAATAACAATAGTTTTTGAAACTTTATAGTGAAAATACACAATTATTGCAAAATATATTAATAATGAAAAATATAATAATTACAAAAATTACAACAATACAATAAGTACAAAAAATATATTAACCTAGTTAATAAATAGTATATTCTCGAATAATAGTTTAATCTCTAATAAATATTAATCAATAACTTATAACAAAATACAATAAATTAAATTTAAAAATTTCAATAATAGTAATTTAATCCCCAATAATTATTGAAAGTTTTCTATTAAATAAGAAAACAAAATAAATTTATACATAAATCATTGAAAATACATTTATCACAAAAACACTAAATAATTACTGAAATACAATAAATATTAATTTTAGTATATATAATTATATAATAAATACAGATTATGAATTTAAAATTATTATTAATAAATAATAATTTTTAAAAGTTATTTTCTCGAATTATTACTTGATATAAGTGAAATTAATTATTTACAATATTATGTAAAAATATTAAATTATTATTAATTTCAATATTATGTTATAACTATTTTTCTACTTTTTAGATTTTTTTTTTAAATTTATTACATACTTTCTTTATTTTAACTATTTAAAATCTAGTTATGTTAAATATTTTTTTATTTTAATAATTAAAAAATATGTAAAATATTTAAATTTTAAAATATTAATTATTTATTGAATTTAATTATCAATAAAATCATAATTTATACTATCATTATAATTTCATTATTAATTTTGTAATATATTAATTTATTATTAATTTCAATATTATCTTATAATTATTTTTCTACTTTGAAGAAATTTTTTAAATTTATTACATAATTTTGTTATTTTAACTATTTAAAATCTAGTTATGATAAATATTTAGTTATTTAAATATTTAAATAATCTAGAAAATATTTATTTTTAATTTTATTTATATAAAGCTTTTACATATTATTAAATATTTGAAAACATTTAAATTGATAATCCAGAAAAACATAATTTAAATTGTTAGTACATAATTTTGTGATATATTTTGTAAAAACATAAAATTATTTTTTCTATTTTTAATAAATATTTTAAATTTATTATATAATTTTGTTAGAATATTTAAATAATTCTTAAATTTCTTAATCCAAACTTTCTTTAGATAGATATAGGTAAAAAGTAGGGGAGAGGAAAAATAAGAATTAGAGATGATTTATGAGAGAAACTCCCTACTAAATTAGAGATAATTTTGGAGATAATAGAAATTAGAGATAAATTTAGAAGATAAATATGAATTAAAGATAATTTTGGAGAAAGTGGGGGAGGTAGTTTAGGAGAAATTTTAGGAGAATAGATTATTTAGGTTATTGGGAAAGTGCATCTCATTGATTGTTTCAAAAATGACGTGGAATAAAAAAATAAAAAATTCAAAAATAGAAGAAAATTTCTTGACCGCTTTGTTTTAATATATACACACACACACTAGGGGGACCCGTGCGATGCACGGGATTTATTAAGCGAAAGCTAAATAATAGAAAGAGTCATTTACTAAAATACCCTTTATAGTTTCATAGATTTACTAAAATCTATCCTATGGTTAAAATTTTACTAAAACATCACTTATAATTTGCAATGGATTTAATCAATCTTCCATTAAATGACAGTGGAAAATGATAGTGTTGACCCTAATGTTCATTTAAATAAATTTAATCAAAAGAAAATAAAAATACCATTTTTGCCCTTTATAAGACACGGACAACCACTCTATTGGCTATATTTGGTTAATTTTGTTTTCTGTACAAAAGAAAAAAAAAAGTGTTAAGGGTATGTTTAGAATAAAAATCCATGAGTCTAATGGAAAGCAAACACTCCTTAATAAAAGGTTGATTAAGTAAATAAGTTTTAAAATAAATGGGATTTTTAATAAAATGAAAATTATAAGATGGTTTAAGTAAATATGTAAAACTATAAGATGTGTTAAAATAAATGACCTTAATAGAATCACATGAGAGTATACAATTGTTTTATATTTTCAACTTTTTAAATAATTAATAATTATTCATATTTTATATACTACTTTTAATAATTTTTTTATAATACAAAATAACAATAATTAATTTCAGTTAGCTAGGTCTATTCATCAAACTGATGAAACTGACCAACCCGAGTTGGTCGATTTTCTAGTATTTTTGGTCGGCTTTGGTTAAAAAATTTCCCAATTCGACCAAGTTGGATCAATTTCACTTTTATATAATTTTTAATATAGAAAAGTCAGAAATTTCCCATATTTCTTAGTCTAAAATGTTTTATATCATAAATCTATTTTTAAAATTTATTTTTTTAATAGTTGCACTATAATTTTTAAAATTAAATTAAATTTTTAAGTTTAAATCTTTTGAACCGACTAACCAAAGTAAAAAATCGACCCAAACCGATAAAACTTGAGTGGGTTAGTTTTCACAAAAGGTCTATCGGTTTCAGCTGACCAACTCCCCAACCTGACCAGGTCAATTTGGTTGGCCAAATAACCTACGACCGAATCGAACCAACTGGTGAACACTCATAATTTCAGCTAAATTAATAGTCTCATCTCTAATAATTAACAATAGTTTAATCTCCAATAATTATTGAAAATTTATAGCAAAAATACATAATTATTGAAAATATATTGAATGAAAAATACAATAAGTACTAAAAATATATTAACTTAGTCAATAAATATTAATCAATAAGTTATAACAAAAATACAATAAATAAAATAAGTACAATAAATGAAATTTAAAAATTTCACTAATAGTAGTTTAACCTCAAATAATTTTTGAAAGTTTTCTATTAAATAACAAAAAAAAATTTATACATAATCATTGGAAATACATTTATCACAAAAACAATAAATAGTTATTAAAATACAATAAATATAAATTTTAGTATATATAATTATATAACAAATACAGATTAAGAGTTTAAAATTATTAATTTTTTTGAAGGTTGTTTTCTTGAATTATTATTTGATATAAGTGAAATTAGTTATCTACAATATTATGTAAAAATATTAAATTATTATTAATTTCATTATTATGTTATAATTATTTTTCTACTTTTCAGAACTTTTTTAAAT